TCTGAATTGAAACATTTATTCCTGAGTGATCTGAAGGGAGGTTCAGTTTAAGTTTGAGAAATCCTTGTTGCCTATCTGAGGAGATTGTGGTGGCATTCCCCTAAGCCCCCACCTCTCCTCAGTCTCTTTGATGGGGGGTCTCTTCCTCTGCAGCTTCCTGTTTCCTCCAGAGTAAAGCGGTAGCAGTGTTCCCTAACAGCAGCCCTGTAGACCTACAGTCTGTGGATTATTATACCTCCTGGGCGCCTCAGTTGACCTAGATAGGTACTGATGAAGTGTATTGCAGCGAATCTGAGCAGTAAAGTTCAGCCCTCACTGTTTATCCTGCTGTTCCTAAAGCGTTTAAGAAGGATTTAGTCAAAGAACTCATTCTGTTTGTGGCTGCGGGTCTTTAGTCTGAGGAAGGAAACATTGCATGTAGATTGCCTGTTAGCTGTCCCAGTTAGCTCAACAATAGTTTTCCCTATCACCACCACCACACACACTCACTCCAGTCATGTGCTCTTTTCTTAGGAATGTGCAACCTCCACTGGAATATACAGAACAGAAGCCAGAAACCAGATTCTTGTTCAGTCTTTTTGTCTCCGTCTCCTTCAGTCACACACAAATGCACATTTTCCAAAGCACAGCGAGTAGCAGAGGCTCAGACGATGTGATCAGAAATCTAACCTTGTGGGAGAATTACCACTCTGATAAAGGTTGTCTCAAGGCCAGTTTATATATCACTAGTTATGGGATCAGAGTTTCTGTGAACCTCTGATCGGTAGAACAGAACCTTCTGTTTCCCGGGGGTAAATATTAGATATGACATGGAAGCCTAATTAAGCAGGAGGTTATGAGGAGCCCTATTCATCTCATCAACAAGCTCAGTCTGAGGGTGCTTAAAGAGTCACTTTGTAGAATGGCAGCAGGGATTGGTGGGCTTGGACCCAGTCTCCATGGCAACCGTCAGATGTAAGCTAAAAGCTGGGATAACACTGATGCCAGATTTTTCTAACCCAATTATCAGTACAAGTGATGACATCCTGGTAGTTGTTGTTAAGTTCTGGTTAAAATACTACATAAAAACCTCCCCAGATTTGCTAAGCAGACTTTCCCACTGGCTGAAAACCCATCTGAACCCAGAATCAGCTTTTAAAGGCAGTGGAAAGCGGCTCACTGATGCAACCCGCCTCGGCTCTGATTGGCATGTTTAACCCGCTAAATTACGTTGAGTTCAACATACGGAGGTCAACACATCGCGCCAGTCTGTCTGATCTAACAAGCCAAAAACAAATGCTTACATTCAATAAACACTGCCGGAAGAGCAGATATCGTCAGAGTTGAGCACGCAGTTACGGACCATTTCACATTACTTTTATCCCCCACCGCTGCTGCCGTGGTACATGTAGTCATGCAGAAAGTGCCCCGCTGTACGACAGTTGGGCGGCATGACCAAACAGGATGAAGCAGCACGCTAATACTGCTTAGCTTGTCTGACAGATACAGCACTATGATGCGGTTTAAACGTCTGACAGACCAGACCACCTGCTAACATTTTTCTTTAGTCTCATCCCGTCAACGAAAGCTCACAACCATGACCGATATCTTCATCCTCAGAGATCAATTTTTAGCTTGTCAGTTCTCGTTATCATCATTAAAAAAAGGACTGCAACAAAATTATTTTGTCATCGTTGACAAACACAATACTGATTCGGAGGGACAAATGAGCGAAAGACACATTTGCTAGCCTCTGGCTTCCTTATATGTTGCTCTCCATTGTTTACTTTCCTGGTTTCTGTCACACTGGTGACTCCATCAAAAGTAGCCCAGCATGATGGTGTAAGCAGATGCACAGCAGTGGGGGGGACGGATGCCACACAGCTGCCAGCGAACGGTTAGACCCAGCTTTTAATTTGCCAGTGGGAAGGGAGCCAAATGTTAGCGGGTTGGTTGTTAGCGTGTCGACCCATGTTTAAAAAACACGCATTAACACACTAAGCTATGCTAAGCTAACCAGGAGATTCTCCTGTTAACAAGCTAGAGGCTTCTTCTTCTGTCCCCTTCTTGCATAAGAAAGTACCCCTCACAACTCTGACATCTTCTTAACAGTCTAGCTGCATAAAGTCACACTTGTTAAGCATAGCTCCCACTTGCGCCGCAATTGCTGCCTGCTAATACTGCTGCATTGTTTCTGCTTTTATAACTGCACTGTATATGGCTACAGTCGGTTTTTGTTTTATTTGGTATACATTTCCAGACTTGATTTGATAATGTTTAATCTAAAGAGCAAGGTAAGAGACACACGGACAAAAACAGTGGACCTCTCTGAGCATGTGTGGTCATGACTTTAGAGAGGACAAAAGACTCCGGGAAACGTGTTGAAATGCATTTGTATTTGCCTTCCAATTTAAACCTGTTTTGTGGTTGCCATGACCCGAATGACTGAGAATTTATACGGGCAACAGAAAGGACTTATGAGAATCCATTCTGTCAGTAAAGTTCACAATATAGCTTAGTATACTTCCATTATTTTCAGTACTGTTTTATAAGGTTACTGTCAGTGGTGATCCAGATGTACTGTATGTCTGGATGGACAGATTGTGCTTCCAGGACAGATCAGGTACTGACACTTACTGCCACCTCTATTAATGCTTCACTCATTCAAAACACCATCAGTTCATTAGTGTAAGAGTACATATATGGATGTGAGTAAGTATGTATACACGCTTGCTTCATTGGTGCATCACTACTGAAGGCCAATAGGTTGTTTAGGAGGCATGCCAGGAGAACATCTTCTCTGTCCCATCATAATACGGACCTCGAAAAACCAAGAACCTGGAAAATGTAAAGGGAGAGTGCAAAGAGGAAACTGCTTCTGTTAATGGATGGTTAGGTCGTTGTGTTCACTGAAATTCAAATGGAAGGAAAGAGTCTGAGAGCCACGAATCAGATTTTCAGGAGACTACATCAAAAAAAACAATAGAGTTTTATCTGCCTGATATGTTTTTATAGTTTAAATATGCTGTGCTTCTTAGGATCTAACATTTAAACTAATCCTCATACAGAGATAAAACTGGCTCCAGTTATAGTGAAACTAAAGTTTGGCCTGATTTGACCGAAGGCCGTGGGAGCGAGTGGAAGCCACCTGTGGAATCCATAACACGCCTGTTTTTATGCAAAGGAAATGTGGGGAGGAAAAAAAGGAGCTGGCAACAATTGCAGTCTCTTCTCAGAAATAATTTCTTTCTACTTGGATAAGAATGTTTGAGAAAGTGTGCTAGGCAGCTGTCCCATCCACCCACATTCGTCCTGGGGAGATTTGGGCGAGGTGTCTCGCTTGGTGAGCAGATGAACCTCTGCAGAGCTCGGCGTTTCCCAGACGTCAGCCAAAAAGTGACTGAAAAGATCAGATGGTCTGTTGTTGATTCAGGTGTTTTCATGTTTCATCACACAATAAGTGAAGCAGCCGCTATATTTACTGCTGTTTCTGGGTAAAGATTTGCTTAAATACATAAAATAGATTAATCTTCACTCAGCATGCAAAACTTTTAGCTGCATTGTTTTCTAGCAGTGACGTGGGGATTATTTTTATGCTCCTGCTTTCTTTGGGGGAGCATAAAGATGAGGAGCATAAGATGTGTAGCTGGGTCCTCATTCAGCCTTGTTTAATGGAATTTCAGCTGTTGAAACCTTTTTTCTTACCACTCTGACTCCAGATGCAGACATGTTTAGTCACCTTTTAACATCATTAAACATCTGCTTTACCTTCTTCCATCTTCC